ACCGCATCAACACCAACATCGCGAGAAAAAGCAACTTCAACCTATGGAAAAACACCTCAGCCGTTATCAACTGGTTTCGATCTATAGACAACAAATACAACTCTAACTTCATCTGCTTCGACATAGAAGAATTCTACCCATCCATCAGCCTAGACCTCCTAAACAAAGCACTCAACTTCGCATCTGATTTTGACAACATCACCGCCGACGAAAGGAACATTATTATTCATGCCAAAAGCTCGATTTTAATCCACAAACAGCAACCCTGGCAAAAAAAAGGCAACACTACATTTGACGTAACCATGGGCAGCTTCGACGGCGCCGAAACCTGTGAACTTGTCGGAAACTTCCTCCTGTCCCAGCTACAGAATCTCAACATAAACATTGGTCTATACCGAGACGACGGACTTGCCACAACCGACGCCACACCCAGGGACACTGAAAATATCAAAAAAGAGATATGCCGCATTTTTAACACTAACGGACTCCGCATCACCATAGAAGCTAACAAACAAGTAATCAACTTCCTGGACGTCACATTTAACCTCAGCCAAAACACCTACCAGCCATATACCAAACCCAAATACCACACTACAATATGTCCACCGTGAAAGCAACCATCCACCGTCTTAGATGTTATGACAATTTCAGTTTGTTTACTAGCCAAATTGGCTAGTGGAAAGCGAAAACCACTAGCCAAAACTGAATTTCTACTAGTCTGTGGCTGGTGGGCTACTATTGGTGTCGAGCCCTGCTCTAAGAAAATCACCCCTGGCTATAATTTTCTGTCGTTATGGAGTTTATATAGACTTTGATTTAAATTCTGAGTAAAAAAAAGGCTGTTGTGTTCTCAGGCAAGAAACTTAATAAAAAAAGTTTGGGCAAGCCCCTAGCAAGACTCAGTGAAGTGGAGTGCAGTTGCTAACCTGGGGTGGACTAGCATCCTATGCATTAAATGGAAAATACTTCCTAAGCTGAAGTAGCATGGCCTTCTGACCAATCTGTTAATTCCACACTAAATTACTGCTTTTATTTTTTTTTCAGGGTAGTTTACTATTCTGTGATGCCTGCGACAAGGGCTATCATATGCAATGCCATGTCCCTCCACTTGAAACTATGCCTATTGGTAAGGTTTTATTTTTTGTTTGATTCTGCATTTATTAAGACTGATACTGATGTAAAATGCACTACAGTTGAACCTACATTAAACAGCACCATGTTAAGCAGTGAACCTGTAGTTAAAGCAGTTGGTTTTCGAAGTCCCAAAATTGTTTCCCCTTAACTACCATATCAGTAATTTTCACCTCTATTAAGTGATTATTTCTCTGATAAATCATCATCCTTTATCAAGTAGTTGTGGTCATCCTAAACTGAGTCCCAATGTCCTTTCTGTATTGTTCTTCACCTTTATTGAACAGTTCTATAGTGGAACCATTCCAAATATTTCAATTTTTTCTCCCAAATATGTCAATGTTAGTAGTATGTTTGAGTGCATTTTTGTACATCAAGTGGTCAATTATGGCATACAATAGCAATTTTGATCTGTATTTGAAATTATTAAAAACTGGATCATTGGATAGTGCAATTGAAGACTTTTTTATTGGCTTAGCCATTATGGTATATGAGCTAATATACCATAATCGACAAATATGGTAAGAGTACGCATTAGCTTAAAATTAAAAGGGAGCTAAAAAATTTGTCTAATATAAAGGTTTGTCCAATATCTTGGGTGCATTTTTAATAAAACAATTATTCCACGAGCACTTGTTGGATATAAGATGATTATATCCAACTCGGCGCTGCACGCCTCGTTGGCTATCTATCATCTCATATCCAATGCACGATCATGGAATAATTGTTCAATACACCTATTCTGTGGTACCTTTATTACATGGTCACCCTGTCATTTCCTGCGGGTGACTACTTATAATAACCTTTTCACTCCCCAAGATCTCTGTGTTAAATCTCCTTACTGTCTGTCATATAGTTCTCATGATGGAAGTTTGGAGAATTTAATATTTGACTGACTAATCATCCCGTAATTGATATTTTTCTTTATTCTAATCACTTGGCTGCTTGATATTGTATTGATAATGTAATGAGAAATTCTGTGTTGGTCACTCATGGTGTTGAATGTAAGCTCAACTGTATGAAAAGTGTTAAAAAGAGAGCAAGAGAGAGAGAGAGAGGTCAGAAACAAGTAAATTTCTTTCTTTTTTTTTTTCTTTGTAATATCTTCACTAGTTTAAAGTGAATCTAAAGTTAACATGATTAAAAAACTATGTTGATTTTTTCCTGTGATCTAGATACATTAATAATCCTTACACAAAAGAGAATAAAATTGATTGTTTTGATCAGAATAATTTTATGCTGAAATATTTTAAAATTATACTACACTATATGCAATGCATGGCACTGAAAAAAAAGCTACAGCAAAAATTAAAAAAATCTCATTTTAAAAAAACTGAAAAAAGATTAATTGATAATGTTACATTATGCTTGTAATCCTACAGTGCTAAAATTTTATTTTTGCTTTTCTTTCAACAGGAAAATGGGTTTGTTATAATTGCCAGAATCATCCAATAAATCCAGTGCGTCTTTCTGAGTCTAGTGAGTTTGTGACTCATGAGGCAGTTTCAAAGTCAGAAGCAGACAACATTGTGATGGCTGATGACTTACCTCTTCAGTGTGATGAAGAAATGGGGGAATGTACTGTCGAAGTGAAAGATATTCATATCCAAGGTGAAGAAAATGAAAGTGGATAATATTGAGGAATATTGGAAATAAATTATTGCAGAAAATAGCACTTATTTATAACCCCCAAACTTCCATGATCTGACTTCTAATTCCCCTTTCTTCCTATGTACTGTTTCCAGTTATGCTATGGAGAGAATTTGGTTCCATCCTCCACATGATAAGCGTTTCTTTTCTCCCTAGCTCTTTGCTAATAAAGTACCACAAGGAGAACTTACAAATTGATCACATCTGAAAGTCAACCTTATAACTCCCACAGTCTGATCATTTTGTTAATTCTCCCCTCACTCTCCCTAGCTGCCATAATAATAATAATAATAATAATAATAATAATAATAATAATAATAATAATATTAATAACTTTATTTCAGAGTCAAACTTCTAGCTACCCTGTAATAGGCTTACTAATCGGGGACACCATCCTACCTAACATTTCCTTGTGAAATAGTTACAAGAATTTGGTGTTAGATCAAGCAAACTACTTCTACTTCTGATAAGTTTGAATATTCTCATTACCTGTTTGCTGGATAATGTAAGAATATCATAGGGAGAAGTTACATGTTGATCACTTCTCGGAGTTAAAAGGGTTTCACTCACTTGATCTCATTTTAGTAATTCTTCTCACTGTCTGCTATACAATTCTTTTGATGTTACTTTGGAGAATTTTGAATCAAATCAACTAATGGTCCCCTAGTTGTTATTTTTCTTTATTCTCATCATTTGCCTGCTTGATATTGTATTGATATTGTAAGGAGAAATTCTATCTTGGTCACTCAGGAAAGTGAAAGGGTCAAAGGATTGACATCCCTTCAACTTTGTTACACTCATTCTAATGACTTAAAAACTTTTCTTTTGAAAGTTGATGCTGAGAATGTTCAGAGAGAACTTGAAATGCTGAGCCAGTCTGAAGTTTCGAGTGACAATAAAACAGACTTATTGCTACCAACAAAAGGATCAAATGGTGATTTACAGACAAGTCATTGTCAATCCAACGGGGTTCATTCATCTGCAAATTCAGGGTCAAAGGGCATTGTTAATGGTTTGCCTAGTAAGTGATTTACATTATGTACGTTAAACTGAGCTAGTACTTTAGTGTAATCATAATCAATTTCATTGGTGTGTCCCTTACTGCCATTGTGAATTCTGATCCATTAAAGCATAGAAAAGAGAACTTCTCTTCTCTTCTAATCCCATCCAATCATGCATAAACTACTGCTCTGAAAATGATACTACAATTTTCATTTGAGTGGGGTGCAAAGGAAGTTTGGCAACCACATTTTGATGGTAAATCGTGATGTTATAAGAAGCAGCTGACTCTGTTTCCAATAGCAACATGTTGTTTGACCTCTTTTGGTGGGCTTTCATGTCTGCCAGTAGGCTCTCAATTCAACCTGGAAACAGTGGACAAGAAGGGCAACCTCATGGAATGTCCACTGCTAAATCCCATCCCATCATCATCATTATTATTATTATTATTATTATTATTATTATTATTGAATAATATATATTTGAGTATTTCTTTTCTTGACCTTTATAGATACCCCAATCAAAGGATCAGGTGGAGCTCATGATTCAGCTAAAGATACAGAAAAAAGTAAAAGCAATTTGCCACCAGACACATCACTTTGGACTGTCACAGAAGTTGTGTCGTTTTTCAGCTCTTTAGGATTCCCAGAAGAAGCAAAGTCCTTTCAAAATCAGGTGACTGCTTAGTATGAAACTTATACAGTTGCACCTCAGTAACCCAGACCTGTGGGGACTGGGCTGAGTGGTTCAAATAATCAATACATGTCGTTAGAATGATTGAAAATATGAATATTGATGAACAAAAAATAAAACTGAATATGTATGATAATGAAGCAACAACATTTTATGGCAATTGAACATACTGACCTCCATCAGTAATTCTGTTTTAAGCTGCTACAGCGGATGCACATGGCTTATGCTATCAATTGTTATAACATAATGAACATGCATTTGGTATGCATCATCTAATTGGTCAATTCAGTTTCCAAGTAGATGCTTTATCAGTTTATGGAACCACAGAAAATCTCCAGGCCAATGGTTGATCAGAAGTCTCTACGCCTGAGAAAATTGACTTTTTTTTGCTCAACCTGATAATTGAAATGAGTATTTTAAGAACCACAGGTGATGGAAAAATGGTATGCACCAGCCCTTTACACCTTAACATCTGTATTCGCATTCTCCATACACTTCTCTTTATATTTCCTTTGGTACAGACAAGGAGAATTCACAAAACAATCAAGATCATCTTTATTTGGTGATCATTTCCTTTATTCTCATGACCCTAATGTTTGATTCAGGGCTGTTACTGTTGGGAGAAATTGGATACTGATTGCTCTTAGAGTTGGAGTTAAAACTTCTCTCTTTTACAGGAAATTGATGGGAAAGCATTACTTCTGATGTCAAGGAATGATGTGTTAACTGGTATGTCAATCAAGTTAGGTCCTGCGTTAAAGATTTACGTCCATGTTGCCCGGCTACAAAGTCAAAATGGCACCATACCCTCTTGACGAATAATGACTTTAAGGTCATAATTTTTGTAATGTAAACAGGGCTCTACACTAATTTTTCAACTTACTAGCCAAATGGCTAGTGATATCTTAGACGTTTTTAGAGGTTACAACAATTTCAGTCTGTTTACTGGCCAAACTGGCTGTGGAAATGAAAACCACCTGCCAAAACTGAATTTCTACTAGTCTGTGGCTAGTGGGTTACTGTTAGTGTCGAGCCCTGATAAAAGACAGTTATGGCAATAGCCTGTATTTTTTCCTATCATGTAGTTTTGCTTCAGTTGTAATTAACTGTTGCAGGTAATTCTGTGTGCGGTTTAGTTTTGCTGTACGCGAGCATTGTTAATATTCATTTAGAAATAACACACATCTCCACCAATCACAATTAAGATTTTGACTTCCGTCAATCATATAGAAGGAAATAAGACTTAGGCTGCACTTTCTGCTGGCACTTTATGAACTGAATTATTTTAGACTAGCTTTGATTGGATTTCTTCACCCTTTAACTTCCATGAATGATGAAGGCAGAATTTCTCCTTACAATATCAAGCAGTAAAAAGAAAAATCTCAGTTGAGGATTATTTGTAGATCCAATGTGAAATTCTCTGAGCTAACATTGTAAGAGTTGTATGGCAGACGGTAAGTAGAGTTACTAATCAGATCTGGGAGGATCCATGATTGCATTAGTTTTCACTCAATGATGCTGTGTGATTGATGTAGAAACGTTTGCTTATTTTGTTCTTTTTGTCTTGTTTACTCTTGTATTTTTGATCAGTCAAAGTACATTAGCAACATTGTGCCATTTCGACTGGCTCTTTAGGCTTTTTCAGTTGTGTCACTCAGTGTTCCTTTTGAAACTGCCTGTGAAAAGTCAACTCAAACTTGTTGCTGGGTCCCCTCTCTAATTTTTTGGTGGGAAGATAGAGGACCTGGGAATGAGGATACATTAGGAAGTTAGTAATGATAGTAAGGTGGCATTTATAAACAACATTTTGTACATGTGTAGAAAATTTGTTTAGGGAATTGAAAATAATTCACTGCTTTACAAATAGAGCAAATTTAGGGATAAATATTACGCACTAGACTAAGTGTAATGCTGGTGCAAATCTTAGATGTTCAGCTTGTATTTGAAAGCTGCAATTGCAGTAATTGTTTAGATGTTGTAAATTGCCTTGAGATAGGTTTTTCTGAACTTTATTAGGGACATTTCCTTAAGAATATTTTTAAACTGCTAAATCAAGCATTTGTCTTTCTCCTAAATTATTTTCTTGGTTCTTGAGTCAACCTGTTTCTTGTTTCCGTTTTATGGAGGCCCAAGAGATGAAGTTTATTTCCTTTGTGTTGTTATAAAAAGGTTTTATTATTTAATTTATTTGTATGGCAAGGCTTAATATACATACAGGGTTTTTTCCAAAATTGAGTAGCATTGAGCTGACAGGCCTTTTAGCCCTTTAGCTCCCAAGATCTGATTGTTAATTCTCCCTTTAACTGCTACACATTTCCTTGTAAATTAGTAACAGGAATTTGGTGTTAGATCAAGATGATGACTTTTACCTGATAACCCTGTCCTCTGTTTGCTGGTTTATGTATGAATATTGCAGGGAGAAGTTACATAGTAATCATTTCTGCAAGTTAAAGGGTTAAAAGACAAAATAACCTCTGCAAAACATGTTATCAAGTTTCCATTGCCCACCCATCATTCCACTTACCCACTCCACCCTTTTTTTTTTTCTTTTTTTTTTAATTTAACAAAATCACTGCAGTGCCAGACTGAACGTTAAATATTTTGATAACTGGTGTTATTTTTTTTGCTAAATGTTGCCGAGTGGGAAAAAAAGGCGTTTGATAACCCTGTAGTATTTCGTCAGTTTGTAAAAGTACCCACAAAGAGGAATACTGCGTACTTCTCAAACCACCTCCCTTACCAAGAGGTCAACTATTTTTGATGACCAAGCAAAGTGCAATGAATCGATTTCTATTTGTAAAACAATAGGCAACAAGAAGTCAGTCATTTAGTGAGATCGGATCTTCCAGATTAGCCTGCGTTCTAGGGTCTTAATGGTGATTCGTGTCACCACACGTGAGCGACAGACACGCGCGAAAGTCGCCCGCGTGTGCTAATAGTGTCAGTTCGTTCTCACCGAGCCCCTGTAGCGCAGGCCATCTCAAAAGCGGGTGCAATGTTAACTACGTTATCCAGTCAATGAAAAGGCAAGGCCGCGCTAAACAAAAGACAGTGAGCTTGAAAAATAAAAAAATTCGTAAGGTTAAGTGTGATTGTCTTACTTTATTTCTGTGTTGTTTGAGGCTTTCGTAGAGGCTAGTTCTTGTCAGCTAGTTTTGTTAACTCATCTGTTCGACTTAACTCTTACATGGGATCGCGTTGCACTTCAACCCAGTAACGTGGGCTAAGCATGCGTCGCGCTAAATGAACGAGCGAGAAGTGAAATGAAAGAAAAGGAGAGACCAGGAGAGGTTTTATTTTGAATGCCTCTCCCTCCCGTATTTATCTATTTTCTCATTCTTTCATTTACTTATTTCTTTTTCGCCTTTTGCCACCATCAGGCCATCCCAGGATTCCCAAAGAAAATAAAAACGCTGCGCCAGTCAACGTGTAGAAAGGGGGCGAGCTCAAAGCTCGCAGTTTTTCACGAGCTGCGTGCTTGGAAAGCCATTCTACCAAAGCCCATTTTCGCGCGACAAAGAGACTTTCCAGCTTTCGTGTCATTGCTGAGTTAATACCCGACTTTTAAGATCGCAGATAGAGCGTGTTTACTCATCAAAGAAACAGTATCTGGACAAGGTTTACGAAAAATGCCAATACCGTCTTTATTTGCACAATTTTTCTGCCGAATGAGATCTATAAGTGAACAACAAGGAGCGCATGATTTCTAACTGAAAGGGCATTCTACTTGATTCTGTCTAACTGCTTTTCATTAAAGTTTTCATATTCGACCTTAACCCTTTATACCCTAACATCAGTATCCATATTCTCCTAACTAGTGTCTTTACATTTCCTTTGTTACTGACAAGGAGACTTTGTTTAACAATCAAAGCCTCTTCGGTTGCCGATCATTTCTTTTATCCTCGTAATCTTAACTGATTTAGGAAGAGAAATAAGAGAAAATAGAAATAAGATCAGGGCTCGAAATTAACGGTAATCCGTTAACCAATGGTTATTAATTTTCAACCTTTGGTTACTAACAATGTGTCCAACTAACCCGACAGGGTTAGTAAAATTTACTAACATATTTAAACATTGGTAGACCTCAGGACAAAGAGCACGTAGATCCGACTCTCAAAGGAACACTTAAAATACTCAAGTTGTTTAATCAACTTAAAACTCTTTTTAGAGAATGTGCTGTAGATGTACTGTTCTTGACTAATCATGGTAAACGAGAGGGAAATAAAATAGGTGCATAATTGTCAACGTTTTTAAGGTCACCATGCAATCTCAGCTACTCTTTAATTTGTCCTTTTCGTTATTGTCAAAATGTTTAATGTTTGAGATATCGTAACTTGTGAGCTTGGATACCAAACTTGATAATTTGGTTTGTAAAAAAGATGTCTACTAGCCCGAAGGGTTAGTGATCCAAAAATTAAATTCGAGCCCTGAAGATGTCGGTCATTGTTAGGGTTTTTAAGGGTTAACCTGCCTTGTCCTCTTTCCTTTTTGGATAAAGCGCATCTCTTAAACTTCAAAAATCTATTACTAATTCTCCTTTTACGCGGCTACACATTTCCTTATAAATTGTTTAAGAGGACTTAACCTTACATCAAAATAAAATCCTCCAGCTTTTACGTTTGTCACTACTCTTGAGCTGTAGTCTGGACAGTGCATTGTGTAGCAAGAACAAAGAAGGTGTCGAAAGATACGGTTTTTTTTTTTTTTTCAAAGGATTAAGAATATCTAATATTTCTCTTCAGTATTCCTCATCGGCAAATGTCTTCACAAGGTAGATTTAATGTTATACACGAAAGGTGCGGCCTTTCTTTTTCATGTTGTTCTCAACTGGTAATCTGCAAAAGAAAACGAAATGAATTTTAAAGTGGGTTGCCGTTGCGACAACAAGCACATCCTAAAACAAGTTGCGAATCAAGGATGCGGATATAAGAACTGAATTCTGCTCCCGAACCTATAGGCTACGTTAGGCTGCGAGCAGTTCTTCGGGTAAAAAAAATCAGCGAAGAAAAAATTTAAGATTTTAGCGCACCGCGCACAACTTCACCGAAAAGGGGGGGAGGGGGGGGGACTGTTCGTAGTATAAGACTAAGTCAAATCACTTCGCTCCCCTGTGGAACTAAGTTTGCTTTGAAATACAGTTCATATGTTCACAGTGTTACCATTACCGTTGAAAAAACTTAACGTTTAAGTTCCCCTTGCTTCAGATAATGAGCGTTTCTCCACATTACATATCGGGGAGTACATGATGCTTCGTATTTGGCAACATTGCATAATTTTCTTTTGCTTAGCAACACAGGTATATTATTCCGTGCTCAGCTTCAGCGTCAGTTCCAGGTTTGTTTACTGCAACCTGCGAAAATCCTCAGATTTATAACTGCTCTGCTAAAGCACAGCTCTCAATGAAATTCATTTAGAGCAATTCTCCATTGAGTGTCGAAACTAATCCGGGACTGCACTGGTTTTGCTTCTCTCTGTGATTGGTCAAAAAAACTCGCGCCACTCTCCAAACCAATCAGATATAAAACTAACACCAATCACGACTTGGTCGCCAGCGTTTTCCCGCGCTTGAAGCAGTGATTGGTACACAAAACTCGCGTCACTCTCCAAACCAATCAGATGCAAAACTAAAACCAATCACGACTTGGTCGCCCGCGTTTTCCCGCGCTTGAAGCAGTGATTGGTCCACAAAACTCGCGTCACTCTCCAAACCAATCAGATGCAAAAGTAAAACCAATCACGACTTGGTCACCCGCGCTTTAAGCAGTTCGGTTGTTTTAACTTTTGTGAGCTCTCAATGGCTCTGAAATGTGTTTTCCTTTCTTCAGATTTGTTGTTATGATAACTTGGTTCTGGTTTTACGACACTTAATCGATAAGCGCTCTATTTCACATGTTTTGTTGATAAGAGTTAACTAACCTCCATTTTGGGTGATGTATCGAACCCAAGGAAGAGCTTGGTAGCCGCTCTTTTCTATAATCTTCAGATAACGAACCTATCCAGTAAAAATGAGGGTTAGTTTTTAGAACAAGACGATAACGTTAAAACATTTGGGCCCACAAAATTCCTCGAACGATTCTTAAAGTTTACAAACGTTATTCCATTTACCTGAATGCCAGATACTGTAAAGTAAGGAATTTCGAACTTGACTTTGATGGGTGGTCTACCTTCGTCAGTCTCTGCAATAAAAAGGATGCCTCGTGGAATATTGTTCATTGAGATAGCTAATTTTATCATGAGGTTCAGATGGAAGTTCTGATCTCCGGATTTCGAGTGACTGGATCGGCTGCACCACAGGAGAATATACTCCTCATCGGAATGAAACATAGTTTAGGCCGTTGGAATTTAGTCGGGAAGTTTCTGCAGATAAACCATAGTAGCCAGAGAATTCTCTGATATCCGATAGCAAATGAACATTGCCTTTGATTATTGGTGCATTTTTGCAGCCACTTTAATTGATTATATCCTTCACCTTTAGCTAGCATTAAGACCAGGCCTGAACTAGTTAGCAATTCTCTATTTTCTGCCACACATTTACTTGTGTATACGTTCAGAGAAATCGGTGATAAATCAAGGTAACATCCTCCACGAGATGCATTTATCAATTCTCATTACCTTTTGCTGGATATTGTAATGGCATTATAAGGAGAAGTTACATGTTCACCTAGCATCTTAAACTTGACTCACCTGAATCCACACTTGGCAGCCTGAAATGTGCTCTCAGCAAAAACTCTTTCCCTCCCTGTTGAGAAAAAGTAAAGAAGAAAAAATTCCACATTTGAAAAATACTCCCCAGTACGCCTTTCCACAAAAAGAAAAAAAAATTGGCAAACCGTTTTTAGCCCGCGAGCAGGCCTTCATTGTTATCGCTTCATGATCCTTTATTACAAGCATTTTTTTCACCACAAGAAAGTTTGAGGCTTTGAGCCACGCGAGGCTTCAGCGTGAAGTCAGCTTGCGAGAAAGCCCGAGGAAGACTGAGTATGAGGCCTTGAGCTACACGAGCGGGAGAGAGGTTTGACATACAACGTTCTTGTACTTGACTTAACATTAGAACTTACCGGGAAGGATTTCATATTCCATACAATTTCGTTGTCCTCAGGGGTGTACTTCACAACTCCAACCGTTTGCTGAGAAAGAAAATGGCTTTGTGTGATTAGGGTGCCCACCAAAACTCAGCCGGAGGAAAGAAAACATTTGAACGAGAAACAACGAAATGAGGAATATATTCCGAAAAAAAAAAAATTGAATATTTTCAGAAGCTCATCTTACTTTAAATTTAGGAGAGTCAGCGTCTGGAGGGACAGGGATGTGAATCTCAACATTGTTGGCAGTCGAACGTCGCTTGAACTGGCTCTTAGCCTGAATAAAACAAAACAATCGTTAACACATTTGAAAATTCTTTAAGTGTTCTACCTGTTTAAAATATCAATTATCCATTCATTTATTTACTTAATATGTATTTTTATGAACACACAACCAGCAACACAGATCAAACAAAATGCAACTTCTCCTTCCACAAGAGTAACATTGAATTCTAACATCCATAATTGTATTAAAACTGGGTTTGTCGCCAGGTGGGTACATTAAAAAAATATTTGAAAATACAAATTAAGTTACACTGGTGGTTAAAAGTGTTTCTGAAATTAGTAACAATAAAAAAATGTTCCAGACATTTCGGTCACAATCATGGACCTTCTTCTTCCCCTGAAGGTCTGTGATTGCGAATGAAACGTCGGATACCTAATTATCGTGTGCCGGCTCACTCCTAGTTCCACCCTGCACACAAATAACAATTTTTTCATCACTGCTTTGTTTTGACTCATGTGACAGACTTAGCCAAAAAGCAGGGACCGCTTGTATCCTATCTTGCCCTGTGAACGGCCTTACCACATGCAGAGTACAATACAGTAAATGGTTTGAACCCGGGGGTAACATGTGAAGGTGTAGTCTGATCGTCCGGGTGAGTAAGTAAGTAAGTAAGTAAGTAAGTAAGTAACTTTATTTAGCCACATATCGCATATGAGCGAAAAGCTCGTTTAAATGCAAATGTGCCACCCAGTAAACAGGCCAGACCACATCACAGTAATCTCGTGATGTGGGTTCTTTAACGTCCCTTGCCGAAATTAACTAATTGATAGGTGCAGGAGACGGGACCTCCGGGTTTACGTCCTATCCGAGAAGACGAAGCAATGTGAGTGAAGCGTCTTGCTTAAGGACACAACGTCAAGCCCCAGCCAGGACTTGAACCCGGGCCATCTGACCTAGAGTCCAGCGCACTGACCACTGGACTACTCACGCCTCACACACAGTGTAGTCCTGAGAAGGACTGTTGTCGGTGGTAGTGACTGACGTTTCGACAACCTGTGCGGAAGTCATCATCAGAGTCAAGTGAATGAGTCGTTTGTATGGAGCGGGTAGTTGTTGACATCTGTTTAGGGGAGTCTGTTCTAAGTTAGTAAACCAGCTTTCCAGAGTCAGTCGTTGAAAATAGTCAGTGCTGTAGGTTAGGCTCCATACAAACGACTCATGCACGACATAAACATCACGAACGACCGAAAAAGAACGACCTTACTTTACCGACAGATCGAAACAGGCCAATCACGACCGACTTACGTCACTTGAGTCTTACAGCCAATAACATCACGGCAAAACCAACCGATCATTTCACACGAACTGGAATAAGAACATTCTACTGACAACAATCATTCACTTGACTCTGATGATGACTTCCGCACAGGTTGTCGAAACGTCAATCACTACCACCGACAACAGTCCTTCTCAGGACTACACTCAACCGGACAATCAGACTACACCTTCGCAGAATGCAATGTTTACAGCAATGTTCACTAACTCAACTAGGTTGTGCTGAACAGGAAAATGCTCAGCTTTCACTCAAGACCTTGAGCCAAATATTTCCCAGACTCGGGCCTTGCCACTCTCTCAATATGTACCTGTAACTAAAATTTTCTTTCCACCAACCTTGATCATGTACTCTACTCTGCTGTGAGAGTGACGCTCAATAACTGACTCAATCCAAATCAAGGGTTTCACCTAAAATAAAGGCCAGTTAAATTGAAGAAAAATTTGAAATAATCAGTGAGTGCTGAGGCTCAAAAGAAACACTAAGAGTCTGAGGTAAATGTAAATCCAAATAAAGAAAACCTCAAAACATACTATCAAAAAGAAACATTAGAAATAGAATTAGTGTCAAATAAATTCAAAACTCATAAACTTGTTCAATATGTCACCTGTCTAAATTGCATTATCAGCAGATGAAATGATTAGTTCAAATGAAAAAGGTTTCAGCACCTTCTCAGTCTTCCTTTTTTGAGTGTTCAAAACCAATTGATTTTTACTATAAAACTCATGTCTATGTGAAGAGTTATAATTACCAAGCACCTTCTAATCAGGAGATAGCAGAAAATGGAAAACAAATCTGTCTTGCTATCTTCACTGGTTGGTAAAACAAAACACTTTTCTTTACTGGTTTAACAATGGAATATTTTTACAGAAACACTCAGAAACTCAAGGGGTTTTCCAACATGCTGCAACATTCTTACATGTGTGTTGAGTCTGTAAGACATCAGTTCAAATTCACCATCAGGAGGAATGAAAGAAATTGTGCGATCATTTTCAAATCTAGAAAGACGGACACACTGATGAAACTTGACATCCTCCAGTTCTACTGCTTTGCTTTTGCTTCCTATTGAAAAAAAAAATTGAACATCCTTTTCTCAATATGTCAAAAGTACAGTACAGTACAATTCTGAAATCTAGCCAACTTGTAAAGTAAACAAATAAGTCATCTACCTGTTGCACATGCAAATTCAAATGGATAAAACCTTCAGTATATTAAAATCCTGGCCAGTCATTGACAAAAACTTACTACATGTTTGTGTTATCAGCCTTTTTTATTGAGATGGATGTGAGTTCAAAGTGAGTTGTGGGTTTATCAAGGCTCTGTGCAAAATTAGCCAGACCATGTATTGTATGTACGTATGTATGTATTTACGAATATTCATCCAGGGTAGCCCAGATTAGCAGATAGCTAGTTTAAATGGGGCCCTGTGAACACCCACCCATCCCACCCCAGGGGAGGACATCCACCACACAGTAATCTCGTGCGTGGGAAATTAATGTCTCCTACCCTTAACCCTGCAGGAGACTGGGCCTATGGTTTATTCCTCCTTATCTGAGAAGACTACAATATGTATCCATTTCTTGATATCATAGAAAGGTAGCAAATTCTCCTCAGTTATTTTAAGACCAGGAGTATTGGCCCAGCCAGGGCTTGAACCCTCGACTTCCCGCACAACACACTCCGGTGCACTACAATTGAGCTAACTGGGGGGTGGTTCTTACCAAAAACTCACATCGTAGTCTAGAACATATACAAAGGCTCAATAAAAGAAAAACATTGTTTTGCTGGAAGTAAAGGGATATATAACACAAAGCAACCATCGAACACAAAAAAGAACATGTTCATAAATTTCAGTCAAAAAAAGGCTTTTTCAAAAAGTTAGTATTACCAGATACACAAAAGAACTTACGTCCTGTGCTTTCAAACAAAATTTTGTCATTCAATCCCAGCCGCAGTTCAGGCATCCCAGTTAGATAACATCTCATCTTGACTGCACCAACAATTTCACTCTGTAACACATTAGCATTTGCACTAACCTAAAATGAAACATCAAACACATACGATGATGGCAACAGCAAGAAACACTTTAAATGACTATACATATAACTACATTATGTCAGATGTTTGATATTAAATAGTTAGTTTAGATGTTTGATACTACTAAAACTCTATGTGACGTGAGGCTACATACAATTTTGGCAATGTTAAAACCCAATCAATGCAGCAGTTTCACTGGTGGGATGTGGGGGGTCCCTAGGGAAGTTTGCAGGGGCATTAGCATGTGTTTTTGTTTAAATTTAACTTTGCTATTTCACTTGTTTTCTTTCTCTCTTTCCACCCTCCCTACCATTCTCTTGATTGTTAACCAAATTCTCTTGCCAATAAAAACTGAAATGGATAGAGAACTGTATTGGGAAACTTCATGGTGATAATAGGGTGTAACTGAAAAAGTTAAGAGTAGTGGCACTGTTGAGGATTTTAAAAGACTACTACTAATGACAATAATAGTCTCAAGACCTTTGGGATGGGAACGTACCAAAAGGTTGACTGATTCAATCACATCCAGGAAAACTTCATTTTTACGATATTTCACACCCTCTCCCCTCCACGAGACAGCATTAGTCAAAGCAACCGGAGGTTTGGGTGCCCCAACATCTAACTTGTGACCTTCCTGAGTAATATACCTGTTGGAAAATATGCAAATGTAAAGATTACTGTGAGCTCTATAATGAGATAAAACTCAGTGGATTCTATGACAATTAGCAGAGTGCTAAAATGTATTCTGTGAGTGAACAGGAAGTCACAACACCTGAACACTTCAACTCCCAGAAGTGATTTACATGTAAGTTCTCCTCATAAATTATCTATACACTATATCCAAAAAAACAGGTAATGAGAATACTCAAACTTATCAGGTAGAAATTGCTATCTTGATCTAACACCAAACTCTTAAATTTGCAGCAGGTAGAGAGGAGAATCAAGAACCAGATCTTTGAAGTTTAAGGGTGAATGTTCTCCTGAGACTTCCAAATGTTGCTCCAGTTCTCACTTATTTTAATTATATTGTTGACAAAATGCACCATGCAAATACTGGATTCATAATTGCTGGTTAAAATTTTCAATGCATGAGCCCTGTTTATTTTGTATACAGAACAAAATGTTACAAATAAAAACAAACAATCTCATCTGCATAGTAAATTAGCTGGGTCTACACTATGAAAATTCAAACTTTAAAGTCTTTCATGCCACTTTCTCTGATTCAATTCTGTTCTCTCACTGCGACAAAAATGGAACAAAATCTGGTGGTGGCAGATTTCAAAAAAGATATTGTTGCTCACAACATCAGACTTAACAACTTGTAATGAAATAAATTGCATTTGATTTGATTTGATGAAAGTCCAGCAAAAGAATGATCCTTTAAGGCAAACAGCAATTTAAGCAACTGCAGAAAAGAAGCCTTATAAAAATCAGGTTTGGAGGGAAGTTAACATCAAATTCCTCTCCAGGAAAGAAGAACCCATCAAAATTTGCATTCCTTCAATGTGTGGCTTTGTGCCTCAACTGATAGTAGCACCCAATTAGGATCTGAAATCCCATCAAAGCCAGAATTTTGTAAGCTTCTTTCTAAAGTTTTATGGTCCATCTGTAAAGATAATTTCTTTGCTTAAAAATCAGACTTATTTTTTGGATTGAGGTGCAATTATTGCCTGATGCATTTCCTCTGAAAATAAAATAAGAATAAAGTGAGAGAACAGTAACAGTTTTTCATCTGAAGGCAAAATTTTCTACTTACTCCTGTAAGATCTTTGTCTCTGTAAACTGTGGATAGCCAAAGTCTACCAACTCATCCAGTAGTTCATATATAATCACAAAATTGTCTCTGATACTTTCCTCCTCAAGTTCTTTGAAGTATTCTGTAAACACCTGAAATTAATGCATAACATTTTAAATCATGATTTAATCCTATTCAATAAGATGAAACTTCTGTTAGCAAGAATTACATCCAACTTGATTGCATGTTAGATTTATATGTGAAATTTTCAAAATCCAATAATCATCAAGTAATAATTTACCTGAACTAACTTGTGGAGGAAAACAAATAGCAAAGCCACATTTGCATTCTTCTTTGTCATTGATACCACTTGAAACTTAAGTCAAGGAACTCTGACTTATGAAAGCTCTTAAATCATTAGCTCATAAACTCCCATGAGAGACCAAGACAGAATTTCTCCTTAAAAAATCAACACTACTTCAAGCAGAGAAGTGAAGAAAAAAAGATAAAGATCTGAATGCTAATTCTCCCCTGTAGCTGCTACACATTTCCTTCTAAATTGGTTAAGAGAATTCAGTGGTCAATCAAAGTAACAACTACCTGATAATTTTGAATATTCTCATTACCTCTGCTGGATCATGGATGTACATTATAGGGAGAAGTTACATGTAAATCAATTCTGTGACTTGAAGGTTTAACAGCCCCTCCTCTACTTCTTTTCTCTCCTGTGTTGTCACCTTAAAATTCTATAGGTTCCTCTGAGCTTCCTAAATGGCATCCACAAACCTTTTCAGAAATTCTGTGGGATTTCACTAGCTAACTTATTAATCTGACATAAGATCACGCCAAGAAACTGATGGTGAAACTTAACTTGCCACTTAAAACTTTATGCTTCTCATTAGATTCAACTTTCACCCCCTCCCCCCACCCCAGCCCCCCTCTCTCTCGCCACATCATTCCTTTCACCGAACAGTAAGACATGTTAAGAATAAAGCGCTTACCCGAGTGCAGAACACAACATTTCATTGGATTAAATTCCTAACATGCAAGCGAGAAAAAAACAGGTTCACTGTTAACAGTACTCACGCTACAGAATTCATCTCTTATTGAAATGTAAAATCAAGGGAATTTTAAGAAGTTTAGTCCATATTGAAGTTTCTGCTATATAGCATTATGACCAAAATTGAACCGGCATAATTTCTGACCCTACTTCTTAATAAGAGGAAAAAAGACATGGTTGTCTGACGTTTGGCATAAGATTTTGAAAAAATTCTATTAAATTCAGCGTGAGATTGTTCTCGAAAGCACTCTGATATGTAGCAAATGGTCTGCTCAGATCTCATACGGAACACCCCTTTGATTTAAGTCACGATCTTTGATCTACCAAAGAAACTTTGGTAAAAACTAAGCTTGAATCTAGTTACTGTCATTCCCCGAATTCTCATCCGTTACTCGTTGAAAAATTTTGATCTATACTGCTCATTTTATTAACACCAAATCGTATAAACAAAAGGATACGATATAGATTATTGTATTTGATGTATACAAAGGTGACATCCTGGTGAACGCAAATGGGTGTCTGACTTCCTTCTTCTTCCTTCTCCAATACAAGAGGCATGAACTTTTCGATCAAGGACATCTCAATATCTCCACGATAATTCCGAGAAATCATCACCTGGGTGATAAAAATACGAGCAGTTTTCCAAAACTTTCACAGTCTTTATGTAAAATATTAGGGTATAAAAGTCTTGGAGGCCAGCTTCGTGAATCGAACTTACCTTTCCTTTTATATCAAGAACGAAAACCGCAGATGTAGACATCTTGATGATGTTTTGCTTACAGACGAAACACAGAAATATTCAATGGCATCCGAAGATGAGCGTTATAGTGATGTTTAACCAAAAATTCAATGAGTTCTCACGAGTCTTTAGCCTGCAAATGGCTTATATTGGAGAGAGCACCGCCAACTCAGCTTGCTAGCTTTGAGAAATTTCTTCTTAGGGAGGGGTAGGATAGGTTGAGATTTTTCTAGTTAGAACTTTTCAACAATTTTGATCGGGAATTTTCATTACATGGAAGTATATTTATTTTAATTTAAAAAAAAAACTGTTGCTGAATATTTACGTTTGATATATCACCCCGGTATAATTTGAAACTAAAGTCTTAATTTTTTACCCAACTTTTCCCCCTCCCCTCTAAATCTAGTTTTTTGTGAAGTAGCTTGTGCTTTGTAACCACACAAGAATAAGCCAGGTCAAACAAAATAAAATGGCGTCTTGGTGATGAGGGCTCTCGCGAACTTGTAGACTTTCTTCACGATTTTACAGGAGTTTTATCTGTTTTGCTCAGCATAGATACAATGTAATGATGTCTTTGCACGGAAGGAAACTACAGACAAAGTCAATTAGTAAAAAGAAAGAAACTAAAACCAAAGAAGAAACCGCTGAAAAAGTCAAAGCAATTCGTGAAAAACAAAGTCTATGGATGAAAGAAAGAGAAGAGACTAAGTCATCATCCACGAAATTGAAGTCTTTGAGCAAAGATATTACTGCACTTCCGGATGTCCCAAAGTTTCGAACCCGTTCGAGTTTGTCTAGCGGTTCATCGTCTGAAAATGCTGGCAATAGAAATCCATACAGTAATCCACGAAGGAAACCTATGTATCCAGAGCCACAGAGAGATCATTCAGATGTAGTGTCATGGATATCAAAGGGTGATAACCCTGTTGCTAGGAAACAGAGACCTCCTTCTGCCTCAGGTAGTTACAAAAGAAGCCCAAGCTTGAATCACACGGGAGACAACAGTGACCATCAAATGAAGTATGCTCCATCGAATTATGCGAACTCGAACTCTTCTAGATCTTTAAATAGCTCAGCTCTCACTGCTAGTCAGCAGACTCTCCATAATAGACAAAGGCCATTGTCACGAACATCTGTTAAGTCTGAGTCAAATTTTCAAGATGGTGGTCAAGTTGATAGGGTCATACGCAGTGATGATTCAACAGATAGGGACAGAAAAATTTATGGAGATACAGTCAGTTATTCCTTCAGCAACACTGCAGTTAACACTCAAAGCAAGGATACTCTTGTAAGTGCTACTTCTGAGAAACACGACACTCCAGAGCTATCTGCTGATATGCTCAATGCACTAGCAGATACTGTTACGGAAAGGTTAAAAGCATCTTTGCAACCCAGTGTCAATCATAAACATCAGCAACAGAATACCCAGGTAAATAACGAATCAGGCATTGCCAGCCACTCTTGTCCACTTTGTGAAAAACTAATGACTGGTCCAAGACATACACCCATGGCCGCAATACCATGTGGACACACTTATTGCCAGGCTTGTTTACGTGACTGTAAAAAATGTCCGACATGTCAGACTGTTGTTAAGTCCACTGCAGTGAATACTGTAATGCAGCAAATAATATCTGACTTCAAAGTGCAGAAGGAGAAAGAAAGACTTCAGAAGCTTGAAGAGCAAACAAGGCAATATGTAGAAGAGTATCAATCCCTAGCTCTCAGGTGTAATGCATTGAATGGTAAGGATTTAAGCAGACTTGATTATTTCCTTCTCACAGTTTGATTTGTTGAGTATGATGTAAACAGGTGAATATGACCACGAAGTATAACACTTCTAAAGAATACAGACTCCGCCCCAGTCATCTCTTCCCATGAAGGCTGAAAGTTTCTAAAGAAACTGTGGTGCCGGGTTGGTGGGGGTAACAAGGTAATTTGGTTATATCAACTAAGTTGAAATTGTAAATTGGCCTCCGTAACGAATAAAAAAGCTACGGTGGCCAATTTACAATTTCAACTTAGTTGATATAACCAAATTACTTCTTTTCCCATAAACCTTTTGGCTCCCAAGATCTGTTGTTAATTCTCCCATCTCGCTGCTACACATTTCCTTGTAAATTAATTACAAGAATTTGGTGTTTAGATCAAGGTAACAACTTCTAGCTGATAAGTTAGAGCATTCTCATTACCTGTTTGCTGAATACTGTAAGCATATTATAGGGAGAAGGTACATGTGAATCACTTCTAGGAGTTAAAAAGTTAAATCCTAAGATTATCATCATCATCATCATCTTCATAGTTTATTTAATAAAGCAGGTTGAGGGATAGGCAAGACGTTACATCCTGATGTGGACCTGCATCAATTAAACTATCAATTAATAAATACCTAATTAGTGAATAAACCGAAAATGGGTATGTAAATAATGACTATGGAAAGAAAGAAATATTAATAACAATACGGAGTAAATGTGAAAAGTATTTAAAGTCAACAGATTCGTTGGAAATGCTGCAGGAAGCTTTAGCAAAACTGATAGATTTCAGAACTCTCTTATTTTCCCTGAGTTTTCTCTTGAAGAAGTTAAGTTTGAACAGTTCTTCATGTCTTCGGGAAGGAGGTTCCAGGATAGTGCAGCTCTGTGCTTAAACGAAGATCTTCCCATTTCTGTTCTTGGTCTATGAACCTTAACTTTTAAGGATTTTCTTAAGTCATAAGGAGTCTCGGATTTCACTATTAAGTCATTTAGAGGCTCGATGCTATTTCTTTGATAGATATTGTATGTAATAACTAAAAGTCTCCTAATGTAAAATGAAACAATAGAGTTCCAGTCTGGAGCATTCATGATGTCATCACTGTGGATGCTATAGGGTAGGTTGTAAATAATTCTAGTAGCTCTTAGATGAATTCGATCAATATCATCCGTCAAGGCTGAAGAACAAGACCCCCAGACTACAATGCCATACAAAACGCTAGGGATAATAGTTTTATAATAAATGTTTTCTAAGGTTGGGATCGGTAAAAACTTTATCCGATTCAGTACTGCAACTTTGTTGCTGAATGACTTACAAACGTTTTTTATGTGCTCCTGCCATGATAGCTTGCTGTCAATTGATATATGTTGTAGTTCTCTCCACCTACTGCCTTACATTTTGTTGTAAATAAGATTGAGGAAATGAGCGTTGTAGTTCAAGAGAGCTCCCTTCAGGTGATTTGGTTGCCTTTTTTGTTACCCATTTGCAGGATAATGCCTTGAAATTACAAGAAGTTACTTGTTAATCATATGTGGGAATTAAAGGGTTATTGAGAGCCACTCAAAGTGAAAAGGGAAGAAGATGAAGATTCTCTCCTTCCCTTGCTACCTGATGTCTTGTCCTCTTTGTTGGGTATGCCTTTTTCCTATCTGAGATGAGCGAATGGGTGGAAGATCTGGGATGAGTGACAGAGCAAGGGGAAGGGGGAAAGGAGAGAAACCCCCTCTTGGTTAATCACACGTCCCAGATCTTCCACCCATCCAATATGGCAACCAAATATTTGCCCCTGATGAATCTTGTGCTTGCAAGCATAAACTACCACCTGCAAGCAGGCTACTAGAAACCAGTAAGAGACATTGGAGTATGAGCCATTTCTCTGCCTTAAGTTCTCAATGATGTTGTCCAAATTCTTGAAGGATACAGGGATTTCATGAACTTTTTCAACACATGTAAGTGGCTGCCCATTGATCACTTTCAAAAATGGCTGCCGGATTAATATTCTTTTGTTTAAATTTAAATTAGCCTTTCTGGGCTCGCTTGAGATAATGTATTCTTTTGAATTTTGTACTGGAGAACGAGGCCAGAAAGGCTAATTTAAATTTAAACAAAAGAATATTAATCCGGCAGCCATTTATGAAAGTGGTCTATGGGGTAATAGGTGGTTGTGCTGTAAAGGAAATCCCAAACAGGAGTGCTCCCTCAGGCTAAATAGACAGCGGTAAGAGATCTTACAGGGGATGGTAGACTGCCTGTCATCAGTTTTTATTGAAATCCCTAATCGGATGTTTCAAAGTCCCATCAGATTGCCACAGCAATGAAGAATATTCATGAAACTAAAAGAGCCAAAAATTAATTTTTTATCTCCTTGTCACCTTCAGGTGAGGCTGAGAGCATTCTGCAAACCATGGAAGAAGTTACTGAACAACTGCTGGATGAAAAGAAACTCATAAAGAAACTAGACATGGATGAAAATGAACTGCGACAGAAAATAAACCGTCTGCAAACTGAATTGGATGGTATTAAAATTAAGGAGGAAGATTGTAAGGAAAGATGCCAAGACTTGGAGCAAAGATACAATGAAGAGAAAGAGAGATTGTCCATGGTTGAAGACACTGTACAAAGAATTAAACAGAGTAAAGAAAGGGTTAAAATGATGGTGCATAACTTTGCTCCTGCGTTAAACCTTGATGCGTATGATTAGCATCTTAGGCACTGTTAATATTGCTGTTATTGTGTTTGCTGTGTTGTGTGTGTCTGTATGCCAGAGCACTGATGCTTCCTAAACTTCTACATGGTTAATTAGAAAAATTAACCCTACCATCATCATGCATATTCTCCATACTGTTCTGTATACATTTCTTAAGGTGCTGACAAGGAGGATTTGTTTAACAATCGAGAGCTTCTGTATTTGGTGATCATTAATTTTCCTTTATTCTGTGACCTCGTGTGATTTCAGAGGTGATATTGTGCGAAGAAATTAGATGCCGGTCACTCTTCAGTGTCCAAGGATAAAATGCTACCCCAAGGGTAAAATGCTACCCCAAGGGTAAAATGCTACCCCAGGGGTAAAGTGCTACCCCAGGGGTAAAGTGCTACCCCAGGGGTAAAGTGCTACCCCAGGGGTAAAGTGCTACCCCAGGGGTAAAATGCTACCCCAGGTGTAAAATGCTACCCCAAGGGTAAAATGCTACCACAAGGGTAAAATGCTACCCCTGTGGTTAGAACAGTTAATATGTATGTATTTATGTTGGCCATACCAGTTAAGAACAATTCTGTTTGTGATAGGTGGTCATACCTTCAAGTTTATTATTCTTAACCCAAATGTACATTAAAGTGATGTTTAAAATATATATCTTATTAGATGTTTCGTTGTATAGTATCACTGAGTATTTTTATGAGTTGTGCCATATTTTGATGAGCCGGTAGGGTGAAAATACACAACAAAGCGTTAATACACAACAAAACGTCTAATAAGATATTTATAATCCAACACACCAAATTGTTATTTCAGTGCGGGCAAATTTCGCTGATATTTGTGGAGTACGAATATTGCGTGATATTTGTACTCGTCTCGTGTGTTATTTGTACTCTGCGAAGCACAGTTGCATAATAAATTATAATATTTATAAAGGGATGTGGAGAATATAAGGACAAAGAATGTAGATAGTGTTACTCTAGGTGTAAAAAGGTTAAAAAAAGGGTTATGCAACCTGACTCAATTTGCCTCAGTATCATAGGGAGCTTATTATAATTATATATATAAGCATTTTTATTATCATAGGGAGCTTAAATGTTTTTTTTAATGAAGAGGGAAGCTGGAAGTTAAATTTCTTATTCCTAGAGCTCACTACACCTTTTTGGTTGGCACAGTTTGGTTTAAATGACCTTATAGTTGGTGCATCTACGTCAAAGTGCACCAAAACAAGTTTTATCCATCTTCAGGTTGCTATGTGAGTCTCAAAAATGTCTCTTCCTAAGTTCTCTATTATCAGATCATCAATAGCTTGAGATTTAAGACAAATAATAACTTATCTGAGGGGTTTGAGTAAGAGCCAGAATTCTGTCAGAATTTATCTGCTTTAGTTTTACAGACCTTTTTATGGATATGGCTGCATATTGCTACATGCACACCTGCTCATCAAAAAAATTATGGAAGCCACTGCTAAGCTCTCTTTACTGCAGAAGAATTAACAAATGGTAAACACCACAGCATACACTATTGAGTTATGGATGCACGTGGGAGGTTGCTAAGCACGAAAAAAGCGTAAGAGTCGCTCGAGGCGATAGCCGAGAGCGACTCTAGCTTCTTGAGTGCTTAGCAAACCTCCCAAGTGCATCCATAACTCAATAGTGTATGCTGTGGTGTTTACCATTTGTTTTGAAACATAACATTAACACATTGTAGCTAAAGAGTTCCCTTTTATTTAACAAATCTTAAGTGACCAGAATAAACAAGTGCACGCAGAAAAACAGTCTTTACATTTGCTCACGTCAGCAGCGTACACCCATGGGAAAATGGGGGGACGCTAAATTGACCAATCAGAGCGTGCGCTTTACTTTGGTCATGTTATAACACTTATTCAAAGAGGTCTAACAAGTACTTTTATTTTACTGGATGAATCATAAAAGAACCCTTTTATATTTATTTCCTTGAGTAAGTGCCCACACTCTAATGGGTACCCTCCCCTGAATGAGGACCCTCCTTCCAATAAGAACCCCTCTTTTCTGCCAAAATTTAAAAAAAAATAAAAGCCCTGGGTGCTTATTTGAGGCATATAATTATGCAGCTCTTCCCATTTTAACTCTCATGAGTGACCAAGACAGAATTTCTCCTTACAATTTCAATGCAAAATCAAGCAGACAAGTGATGAGAAAAACAATTTAAAAATGATTAATGAGGGGATTATCAGGTGATCTAATACTAAATTTTCCAAACTAAGATAACTTTATAGAGGACAGTATGCATGGAGAATTAGTAAAAAAAAAATTTTGGGAGTAAGAGGTTTAAATGAAGTTCACTAAAACCTGTTTATCACAAATAGTCTACAGAAAAATAAGTAAATTAATAAATAAATGTAAGTCCATACTGCTACACAGAGAAAGAGTCATTCATGCATGGTGTTGTTAAGGGGCTGTCGGATATTTATTTGCCCGAGCAATAAACTGGAACGAGGCGCGAATTTTCAAATGGTAGAAGCGGAGAGGCTACCAAGTTCAAGATGGCAGTTTTGTGATATTGTATTTGATTCCCTTATCGTTCAAAATACCTGCACGGAAATTCACGCGAGTAATATGCGTAAACATTCTCCTAACAAACTTCACATAAATATCGCCATTTTTTGCCATGGATGTTGAAACAGAAATATCTTTCTTAAGTTCATCGTCGTCGCAAAATGGTTTCACCACCGCTTGCGCAAAACGGCAACGAACCGAGGAAAGAGATGAACATGACGATCTCAACTTGTCACGCGATGATTTCCATCGCCTAAACGAAAATGGTTGCTTGTTTCATAAGGGGACCAACATCCACACAGAATATTGGACGTCAGCTTCGCCCTCTCGCAAAAAGTTTTTGCACATCGGAGCAAATGGTTTGGTTTATGAGTCCGAAGATTTTCTGCCCAAGGGAGAAACCTTGTACAAGCCCTTGCAGGAGGATGTAATCGTCAACACAAGAAATATCGAGCAGTTCACTTTTACGAATGGTTCATTTTTTATTGGCGATGAGTCGTCAAGGTTCAACAGGACAGTACAAGGTATTCGTGATAAACTGTAGTTAATTGCATTGCTCATAACAGCAACGACAAAACAAGGATCGGATCGCAATCCGTGATCCGATCCGTAATCTAGGCCGAGATCCGCAATCTGATCCAGCTTTTGTGGACACCGTTGCCAACAACTGCGTTCTGGAAACTTTTTAAGAATTATCAAGCTCAATGTTAAATGCGCGTAATATCCGTTATTGACCTTAAGCTAGCTTTTAACCCTTCAACTCCAAGAAGTGTTAAACATGTAACTTCTCCCAACAATATCCATCCATTGTTCAACAAACAGGTGATGAGAATACAAAAATTCATCAGTTAGAAGTTATCTTGATTTACAACGAATTCTTGCTTCTATGAATTTTTTTTTTTATTCCAAGACTTTTGCTCTATCTTCTTATTAAAAAAAAAATTTCTAAGTTTTTGTTTTAACTTTAATTTTCATTTAGGCATCTCTCTGAATATGTGGAGATTTGATAATCAAGCAAAGAAGCTTTACATTTCAAGATCATTTGTGTTTACACGTGTGCAGGTAAAATGAGAGTTCTTCAACAACCACAACCATAGGTGCAAGTGACAGAAAAATTAGATTAGAAGATATTGTGTAACCTCATCACTGGGTACAAACTCAAACTTCTATTTACAAACATGCTACCATCAGCATTGCTGATTCAAGCAATATGCAGGATGCATGTCATATATGAACTTCATGATGACCCTGCTCACTGATCCTTCATAATGACCCTTTCTCTGGATTGATATTTGTGCAGTACAAATCAATAAATATTATTATTATTATTATTATTATTATTATTATTATTATTATTATTATTATTATTATTATTATTGCTCACCAAAGAGTTTCTGTGGCTCAGTGGTAGAGCATTGGTCAATGTGGATTTTGAAGGTCTTTGGTTCAGTTCCTCACAGGGAACTCAGATTTTTTTTTTTGTCCCACACTCGTGACAAGAAGAAAAAACATCTTTCGCTATTTCTTTACCAAGCTCAAAAAAAGATTTACCATCTTTCTTATGCATCTGTCTTCCAACTGATCATAAGAAAGAACCAATAAAGATGTGAACAGAACTCAGCCTATCATGTAATTAGAAATACCCACATTTGTAAATTTGTGGCAAACTTCTTACCTTCCTTGAAGTTTGTAATTTGCAACTGACTCTCTTTCCAATCATTTCTTCCCAAAGTAACTGATTAACTTCCCAACATAACTTATTATTTGCAACAGGTAGATGACTGACCAACAATCCTCTGATAAATCCTTGTACTTATTCTCATCCTTTACTTTCAGGAAGTACAGAACATTAAAAGATTTTTGGAAGCCATGTAAACAGGAATTCAATAATGTTGTTTATTGGACAAGAACAAGAGAAAACATTTAATTATGTTTAAAAGTTTTCTTGAAAAAGTTTATTTTTGAGTGAAAATCTGTAAAGCACCTCAGTTTTATTTGATAATTTTTAAAGGGGTTTATTTCAAAAAATAGCAAAAGATAACTCATTTGAATTATTTTCCTTTATGGTTAAAAATGCAAAAAGAGTATGAAAAAAGCTGAGCAATTAAGTTACAGGCAATTAATTGAGGGAGAGAGTGTGAGAGAAAGAGAGAGACATGGTGGAGCAGGGAGTAAAACAGACAGACAGAGAAACAGATAGACGGACAAAGAGATGAAAAGACAGACATATTATGAAGGATCTAGTCATGAGAAATTGATTATGAGATTGACCATATAAAGTTAAAATGCCTAACTCATGCACTGCAGTTTCCCATTTATTAAAATCCATCATAATTATGGTGTCACTTGGTAAATAATACTGCTGTAACACTTCTGCCACCTAAATTGGCAGCAACCAAGTTCTAATAGAAAACAAGGAGCTGGGGGGGGTACTCCCTTATAAGGGATTAATGGGGACGTGCAGCCAGCCAGGGTATATTTTTCAAGATTTTTGTCTTAAACAGGGTATCGCATTTATCATTTTTTGTCTTAATCAGGGTATCGATTTATCAATTTTTGTCTTAAACAGGATATCTTTTCTTGGAAGATAAACAGCAAAATTTTTACAAGCTCTAATTTTAATTAATATTGAATTCCGTTGATTTTGGCATTGATACCAGGCACATTAAATGTCTTAAACAGGGTATCAAAAATCGGAATTATGTGTTAAACAGGGTAGGAAAATCAGCGATATTTGTCTTAAACAGGGTCAGGGTATGAGGGGCCGTGCTGCACCTCCCCCCGTGGCAAGGAGTAGGAACAAAAGGCAAAAACCAGAAAACTTAATTTACAATTTTACTTTTTTCTCTTCACAGCCAATGTCAAATGTATCATTAACTAGCAATTTTGAAAATGTAATCATGTACATGTAAAATGTGGGAATAGCAATAAGAAAAAAGCCTTGTTTTGAATTTACTGCGGAGTGAAAATTCACTATGAATGAAGACTCTACTTTCTTATAGCTTTTTAAAAATGGTTTCTAAAGGGTATTTCCTCAAATTAGTGGACAAACATTTCCAGAGTCCAAGTGTAAGTTTTTCTTTTGGGTTTCAAACGTTTTGACAATTACACTCTGAAACCTGCAGCTAAAGAAACAAAAAGGACTAGTGAGGGTGCCAGAGCCTGCTTCTCTATTCGTTAACTTTTGATTTTAAAATATGGCCCGTTAAATTACCGGGACTTTCGAGAAACGGGACCCGGATACGAAGCCTTTTCAATGAAACTAAAAAGCTGCAAATTTATGGCAATATTATGCGTTAGCAAATTTTCCTCGGCAACCTTTCTGTCCTAATTTATTTATAACGAATAGGTTTTCCTTTCTCATTAAATATATTAGCTGCAGAATTCTTTCAAGAGGAAAGTTGATTCAGTCGCCTTTTTGGTGATGGACACGCACGCAAAGTTTAAGAATCGTTCAAACACCTGGCAACTTTATTCTTAAAGAACCTTTTTTGGACAAATAAAGTTATCGCCAAGAAACTATAACTTGCCGGCCTTTCGTGTTCTCCGTTGCACCAGTTTTTAACCAAAGGCCTGTGCGTTAATGATAAATATGTACGCCAGGTGAACTCCATTAACTCGTGCCACCCGCTAACTCGAAAATTGAAATATCAAATTTCCCCTGGATCTTTTCAAATTTCCCCCCATCTTTCCAGTCATTTGTTATCAGCTGGCTCGAACTCGCTAACTCGAACTCCCCGTCAACTGGAACTACTTTTTCTTTCCCTTGGATCAAATTTATCCTGATATCTCGAACTTTAGCTAAAAACCTCGGTCGATAAACTTCAAAATGTCCGAAAATAGGTGATTGACAAGCCCCCGATCGACCCTAACTTAATCGTGATTGATACGAACGTGATAACGTAAAAAAAACGTAATAAATTAAGCTAAACTTCCAAAACTATACGTTCTTATCAAAAAGCTCTTATAAAACAAACTAAAGTCATGAAAATAACTGTTAATTGTGCGAGAATGATAAAAACATCATTCCTGATTAATTATTAACAGGATAGTTAGCGTGGATCTTCTTTTGTATAACCTGAGAGGTACATTTGTTTTCTGAAAATCGCATTGATAATCTTAAACGGTATACTTATGTGGATGTTTTTTACAGAAATTCTCAAATGGATAAGCACTCAAAAGGTACAATTTTATCACTGACTTGCTGAAGTACTTCATTGTTTTTTTCATCCTACTTAAGGATCCCAATGGGATCATAGTTAATAGAGGGGACAATTAACTATGATGGGATGATGGCTTTTACGACTAGCGGCCCAGTATAATTCTGGCCATTTTTCGCCTAACGGTTAACCCAAAATCATGACAAAATGACACAAAATATTATGACAATAGTATTGTCAAAAAAAATTTACGTTTAACTTTTCTTTACGACTGACGGTTAAACACTGTACAATTTCTACGCCTAACGACCAATTTTTTTTTGGCCGTTTCTTTTTTGGAAGCGCAAACACATAATAACGCCAGGAGCCAATTACCCAAATGTGTTTGCCAAGTTTTCCAAATTTCCCCTCAAGGTGATTGTTCGAATTAAAAATGTATGCTATGAAATTACAGCAGATTTCAATAGTATTCTTGGAACTCATTTTCAGTATGAAACATGAAAAGTTCCGTGATGAACACTGAAAAGAGCGAAAGCAAAAGAGCACGGAAAAGTCTACGTCCTAAGTATTTGAAAGTGTTTCGACGCTAAGATGTTTGTAAACATCTTTTCCTCTTGAGCATATTTTTTTCTCAGAATTTACGCTATTGATTGTTTATTTAGTTCACGGCGTCTCATTAAAAACTGAAAAGATCTTTTTTTTTACTGACTTCTTTCAGAGTAAGATGAATCCGTATTTCGCGTTTTTATGGCTCAACTGTCTAACAGTCCTGCTGCTACCAGCCACAATCACTGCAGCAGGCAACCAGATGCGAGCGCCACTGATCTACATCAACAACCTTTTCATGGAGAACATCAGCATAGAAAATCATACGATTCAGACTGTGAGCGTGCAGGAACCTTGGGAGTGTTTTCGTCACTGCGCTAAACACTGTCACTGCGTTGCATTTCAAGTAAGCGAGAAAACATGCGAGCTCCTGGACACAGACCTTGACGGAGCCATTGGAAATCAAGTGTAAAAACCAGGAATAGTTTTATACCATCTGCAGCAAAATGGTGTGAGGGTAAGTTTATTCTTGTAGAGCAGCTTTCGATTGAAAGTCGCAGTATAAAGCTATCGCAACAGTTAGTTGAAACAGGAGCCGACAAGGACTTTAGGCATCTATTATGACACGTACGTAAAATGTCACCAAAGCGGGAAAACGTGAATGACCAGTCGCCTTAAATTATTAAGCATAGCGTCCCCTCCTTACGTTTTATTGGGGAACCTTAAGCAGTCGGGACTGCGACGCCGAGGGATACGTCGATTGAAAAATGAATCACATGTTTAGCGTGAATTTCGC